AGAGAGAGAGCCTTTGGTTCTTCAAGCTCTGGCCTCTGCTGACATCTACTGACAAGTATTCCTCATGTGCTTTGGAGGACTCTCCCTTTCTATCTTTACTGTTGAAACCTCTAACCAGAAAATCTGTCTTGCAGTATCTACGCTACACTGGCTAAACGCATGTTTTTTTTTCTTTCTGAAGCCCTTCTTGTCTATTGGTCCTCATTTAGGTAATTTTCTATCTGTCTCAATATCATCAAACAATTTTTAATATTCTCCCATAACCCTGAAGCTGTAGGAGCCTGGTTTCCTGTTCTCTCCTTCAGGCCCCATGGCTTCCAGGAGACTAGCTACTTTCTCTACATTAATCTTCTCCAGAGAGGTGAGAATGGATACCAAGTTTGCTGGATTCCCTAATCCAGTCTGTAGCTCAATGTAGGGGAAATAGATTGATATTCTCCGTCTCTGAAACCCTCCCTAGTCATACAGTGTATATCTCCTCTTTTCTCACCCAAAGCTCCTGCTGTTTACACTGATCATGAAAATTGACTCATCTTTTATTATTTCCAGTACTGCTCATGGTGAAATGTAATGTTCTCGAGGCCTTTACACTATTAACATTTTGAAGCTGAGACCCTCAACAATAAAAGCCACAAAGCACTCTTTATCCTCTCAAAATATCTGGTTATTGCAGTAAAAAATGTTGGTTTTCAAAACTAGTAACTAGTCTCTATATTTAATATTTAATTTAGTAGTTCAGTAATCTAACAGTGACACATTCACTTTTTCCTTCGCTATGAATTCTAGTTAACCACCTCTGAAGTCACTAAAGCTATGAGTGATAGTGAGCTGACATTTAGAGGACTCTGGTTCAGTTGAGGGGAGGAATTCTTGACTAAGAGCTGAAGAAGTTATTCTGTAGTCCATACATGGGGTCTACCCAGCAGAAGAGAGTAGGATATTCCTGTAGAAACTGACAGTGGGATGCAGGCTTAAGGGTTCAGCATATGCTTCAGGGATGTCCTATATGTCCTCCCAGAATAACAGACAAATGCCTATATTCAAATTCATTTCTTCAATAACCATTTTAAATAGTCTTCAACAATTCTCTATCACTATGTATAAGTAGCCCAGTCATTATTTCTTCAGTTATATCAGATACTTGTAAAGTTTGAAAAACAAGTGTACAAGTACTGGTCTTTAAAATTCTTGCATCTCAGTTGTCTAGAAAGTGAAATGGGAAGTCATCTCTCACTGCACTCCTGAAATTCTGATGCAGTGTGTGTGAGGTTGAGTCTACCAAGCTTTACTTTGTAATGTTTCCCTGGTTTCTGAATTATTGACATTCATGAAAATTGTGTTTTCTTATGATAACCTCACCTTGTCATTTCCCCCTTTATTCCCTTCTTCACAAGTAGTCTGCTTCTGTTCTCACATCCTATGTCCCTGTCTCTTCTGTTTCTCTGTCTCTGTTTCTGTCTTCGTTTCTCTCTGTCTCTGTCTATCTCTCTTTCTCTCTCTCTGATTTCACATATAGGAAAACATGTGAAACACTAACTTTTTACTTTGCTTACTTAATCTATTTTTGTAACTTGGCTTATTTTGCTTAACATGATGACCTCTAGTTCCATCCTTTTTTTTTTCTACAAAAGACATGATTTCCTTCTTTTTTGTGGCTGGATGATCCTCCATTGTGCATATCCACAGCACATTTTCTTTATCCATTCATCTGTTTATGGGCACCTAGGCTGTTTATGTAGCTTAAGTATT